GGGGCTGCCGCGGGGCGGGAGGGGAGAGCGTGTGAGATGGGGAGGGCTGGGTCGGGAAGCCGTGTGCGCGGAGAGACAAAATGGCGCCCGCCGCTCCTTTGCTTGCCGGCGCCATGATGGGCCTCGGGGAGGGGGTGGCCGCTTTTCACCCATTACTTCTCTCCCTGTTTCCAGAAGTTTCTGTTTCATTTCTCTGGGCTTGGAGAGAAGCGAAGAAGCCTTGTGACCGAGGCCCTATTGTTTCCTAGCTGGGGAGAGAAGCATTGTGGCTATAGGAGCGGGCGTTTCTCAGAGGGACTGTGGGGCGCAGGTTCCCTGGAAGGGGATCGATTTGGTGGTTGGGCCATGCTCAGTTTTCGTTCATGTAGCTTTCCCGGTCCTATTATTTTTCTTTGTGTTTGGTCACAGGCCTGCTGTTTTCAGCGTCGTCTTGCACTCAGTGGTTAATTATTTGCCTTCATCCTCCTGTTTTTATGGTTAATATCGATAGGAAACGCCTCTGCTGTAGTTACCGCTGTTCTTCATGTTCATACATGGCCTAAGAGCGTAGCTTTATTCTCTTAAAATTTACGGCCTGATAACATATAAAGGTGTTTGTCCCATAATTGAGTTAAAGAACCAATAAGAGAAGTTACCAAACACGATGTAGTTAACTTTTTTCAAAAGTTATTAAATAGTCTTGAATAGGAAAGAAAAAAAAAACCAAAGCGGACTCAAAAGTGATAAAACTCTTTAAAGTTGGCTTTGAGTACTTTGCGGTGTTTAATCTGATATTTAAAGTTCTTGTCTTGAAAGTTTGACCAGTGGTGAAACAGAACAAGAGGACCATAAACTAGTGGAGAAAATGAATCCTTTTTTTTTTAATGATGCTTTTTCGGTTTATAAAACTTAACCTGTTAAGAATAAGATAAATTTTTCTGTAAAAGGACTTGAAGAATTATGGCCTTGTAGTTTTGCACCTAGATTATAGGTGCTATATTTGAGGTTCCTCTAAAGTAGTAGGTGAGGGGCTTGTTCAAGGAAACCATGAGCCTGTGGCCAATCTAAGAATGGAGAATAGTCTCACTGAAGTCTGTCAGCCTTTTTTATGCTGTCTGTGTTTTTGTGGAGTTGAGAGCTCTCTCTAAGGTGCAGTGCACAAGGGAATTAATGAGCAGCAATGTGTATAAATAATGAGACTGGTAGCCTTCGAAAATGTGGCAGTGGGCTCAATTTCAGTTGGGTACTACGTTTAAAAACCCAGTGAACTTAGACTGTTAGCTGGTATTCTTCTTATCCTTCTCCAGTAACTTTGAAATGTAAATTCATAGGAATCTCAAAATTCCTTTGAAACTTCTTGTAGCTGAGTCTTTTGGAAACATAAGATGAAGAAGGGAGGGACTGAGTAGAAGGGGGGGAAGTGTAGATAAGCAGATGATAGATGCGGAATGCCAAGAATTGTGATGGCTAAGATCAGGAATAGGGGAGTCAGTTCCTACTCTTTATCTAATGTCCTAAAGTTTTCAGGATGGTGGGTGGAGTATCAATAGTATTCAGAAATGTCACTGAGACTATGGTTAAAGCTCTGCTGTAGATGCAGTCTTAAGTGGTCGGTGCTGTTGTCTATATGCTGGTGTGTTTTGAACTAGATACCGGTATACCATGTGAAGGGAGAAGTGGACAGCTGCTTTGTCTCTCTTAAAGAGAGATTTTGCTATAGATGTATCTTTGTACAAATGCAAATTAATAAAGAATTGGGCAGACTAAACAGTAGTAGCTGAAATATAAATCCAAAGATTTAGCTGTAGCATGTTATGAAGAAAGTCTGCCATTAATACATGATATGTTAATGACAATCTGTAATATCTGTTGTGGTTTAAGAAAAACTAGCTGCTTTGTTTTCAAAGTAATGAATATAAATCAACATTTGAGAGGTTTTCACATGCCTTGTTCAGTTTGCAAATAAAACTGCAGCTGGTAGAAAGCCATGCAAATTCGAGTCCTCTGCTATGCTAAATTATTTTAATGAATAGCATTTCTGGGCTAAATTGTGTCCTTAGTGAAATCTTCTGCAGCCGCACGATGTTCAGAAAGTTTGATTATAACTGCTATTTACATGATCAGAAGAAGAAAGACCAATGAATCTGTAAAGGCATTAATGAAAGTACATATAGCTTTTCAGTGTGTACTTTTTCTATTCTGTTCCTGTCATTGCGTTGTACACCAGATGTACACATTTACTTCTCCCAGTGTTGAATCACAAAGCAGTCTTGACTGCTCTACACAAGATAAGTTTCTGGGTTTAGTACTCCTAGGTCAAGGTTTAGAAGGAATGGAGGGAACATCTTGGTTTTTGTCACCTAAAAAAAATGTGATACAGAAATTGTTGGGACAGGTGGATGTGACCTATATGTATTCTCATACAAATACACATTTTTGCATAGAGATACTGTTTGAGGTGTTTTGTTATTCAAATGTTAGCTGTCTAACACTAATACAATATACCTCATTTAATTTCTCTTCAAAGTTCATTCCGTACTTCAAAATACTGTGGGGGTTTTGTGCTATGCCTCAGTAATGCCCTGGCTTGTGAGGTGACTTAGATCTGTTGGGATAGCATTGACCTTAAGTAATCTTAGTCATGTAAATGTTAAAAGGTAATTGACCTACAAACAACACCATTTAGAGAAAACTGTGGATCAGATTTTAGTCTTACTGATATTCTCAAAAGCGCATGGAAAAAGTAAAGTGCAGTCTAACGTCGTAGGAGAGCAAAATGTTACTATATATTAGTTCTGTTTATTAAAGTCTTAAAAAATCAATCTGTATGCAGTTACACAGTTCACTGCAAGTCTACCAAGCTATTGCCTAACTAATAATGGTATAGCTACTCATAAGATTGTCTTTACAGAAAATAACTTAAATTTGTCTTCAGAGGAAGTACTAAGTAAACAGTTTTTCTTGTTTTTTCAGTCCTAAGTTGTTCTTTAAACATTCTGTCTTCATGTGTAGGGTAGTGATACAGAACGAGATGGAGTAGCCCCAGAAAAGTCCTCTCCAGAAAGAGAGAAGAAAAAGGAACAATCAGATGCCTCTAGTTCTCCCAGAACATCAAAGCATCATTATTCAAGATCACGCTCACGGTCAAGGGAAAGAAGACGGAAGTCAGGTATGGTCTTCATCTAAGCAAAGTTGCTTAGTAATGTTCTGGTGTATGCTTGTAGAACTGAAATCTCTTTAAAGCCATTTTGGAGAAAATATACAGACTTAGCTCTAGTAGATGGTTAGGATTGGGGAAAAAATGAAGCTACTGATTTTGGTTTTGTACCTTAAATGTGTTATATTGAAACTTTACAATTTTAATGATAGAAGTGCTAAGGAAAAAGGTCTTGTTAGTGTTAAGGGAATGGGGGGGCAGGGACAACACCAAACAGAAAATCATACTACTTGGTCTTCATTTTAATTAGATATGCTTAGACTGGGATACTTCTGCATGGTTATAACAAAAATAAGGTTACCTGGCTGAGGAATGTGATTGGAGTATTGGCATGGGCTAGTTTTTCACTGTCAGAGCTTAAATAAATGCAAACAAAGAACTGGGAATAACAGCTAGAGTTTGCTTTCTGCAGTAGATATTCGAATAGTGCTGTTTGTTTTCTAAATCTCTATTATTGACTTCGGGGGGTGGAATAACTAAAAAGAACTAGAAAGATTATAGCCAGCTGATCTCCTCTTTAACTTGGTAAATAACAATAAATGTTTTCTTCTCCAGATACTGAAGGAAGAAAACACAGAAGCCGGAGCAGAAGCAAAGAGGTAATTAACACTTTGTAGTGTTTAGGTAATTGTACAATACATCTTAAAGTATCTTGTAGTAATGCACATATGTGTAAACCTATATAAATGACTTTATGGTAAGTACAAGAAATTGGAAACCTTAAGCTTAAAAATGGCTATGGAGATCCTTTCATAGTGAAGCATGATTGCAGCCATCATGTTGACAAGGTTTTATAGAAAATGCTTTCAGAGACTAGTAACTTAATTTTTTTTTATTTATTTATTTTTTTTTTTTTGAAACAGCCAAAAGAAAGAATTCATGTGGAGAAGTAGAATGGTGTTCTTGATGACTTTGACAGAGCTTCCATTAACTGAAAGCCTTGGGTGGCTTTATTCCTGGCCAATGTTCAGGACTTTCAATTATGCATACCCATCTACTTAAGTATATTAAAAATAATTCCCCACCTGACTGAGCTCTGTTTATTGCATCCTTTAATTGTAAAGACTGTCATAGCTTGACAAACAAGCTGAGTCAGCTGGAAACATGACAGTAGCAGCAAAAATTTCAGAGGGCTGTCTCTTTTTTTAAATAAAAAAAATATGTGTGTATATATATAGGGGAGTGAGAAGAGACAGCATCAATAATACCTTGAAAATAACTGGCTTACACACCAGAGAAGAGATGAAACGAGCAAACCAGGAGCATCGAAATAGTCACAAAGAAGCTTAAGCCATGTGGGGCAATAGCCGGCTGGGTCAGATGAGGGACTTTTTAACTTTTAACCCGGGTCAGGAACTTCTTCCCCCATTTCAATGGAAGCTCTGTTTAAAAAAGGAGG